GACGAACCACTGCAAGTCGTACATCGTTTGGTCAGAATCGTTGACTGCATCAATCAAGTAGTTCAGCCTAAACCACTGAGTGCAACTAGCGCAACAAACTTACGCCACCGAAACAACATATCAGACCATAAATCTGAAGTGCTTATAAGCCACTAAAAGCATCTATCGATGCGTGGCAAAGAACGATATCATACAAGATGAGGATACACAAATCACATCGCATGATTGACAAGACAGTCATACCGTGTTTTTGCATGAAATAATTTAGAAGGTAGTATAAAGCAGACGAAACATTAAAAGTACTTTTGTCCGCAGTAGACTCGAACTGTAGTCAACGAAGTCGAAAAGTTGTCGGTGGTCGGGTTAGGACCTCGGTCATCGAACAAGAGACGCGTCCTAAGCAGTGGAAGCGCAGACAAGACTTCGAAGCTCAATGGGCGCTCTAACTGCAACCACGGCAGGTCCTCGAGTCGACACGTATTCTGCACACCGAACAAATCGCAGCTATAACCTCCAACGTGGTCATAAGCGAAAATGGAAACAGAAGGTACGGGTGCCGAAGTTACCTGTGATAACCAGCACACCGGAGTGCATGGGCGTTACGCACAGTTCAGCGGTGACCGCGCAACAGTGCGGAGACAATACCAAATCGACTTCGCCGCTGTGCTCGAAGTCCACACCGTCGCAGCGCAGCTTCAAGTGCTGCAACGTCACTTCGACAGACAGAGGATTTGCGAATCGCATCTCGACCCGCGTCGGCGCTCTGGCGACTAGATGAACTGCAACGCAGTTAGATGAATAACTGGTCACACAGAGATGCCCAACAGCTTCACGTACCTTCGTCACACTTGTCCATCTGAATTGGCGTGTAGATAAAAACTGACATTTCCTCCTTTTTTTCCTCGCTCGCCAGCAGGTCATCGTCCAGTCGCAATACGGTGACGGACCTAAATATAAAAGCTGAGAGAATCGATCTCAGATCTGACTGGGTCAAAAATACAACAGTCCGTCAAAAGCGCATATCAGTAATCCGAGAATGTGAATGCGCTCATAATCCTTGAAATAAATAACAATATACAGTGGTCTATTTCAGTGTATACAAAAACGATTGAAGGGAATTTACATTTAATTAGTTTAGTGTGTATGCCCAAATCAGTACGCAACACTACGATCAGAAGTTCAGTCAAAGATAATAACGCCTTATGTCGAAGGCTAAGCCTAAAACTTAACTCACATAGCGTAAAAATTTGATCGTAATTGCACCATGTAAACTGGTCGGCCAATGTCTTGCCTCTGACAGGTCAGTGCTGCTGTGCGACATGGAGACCACTGAACGATAAAGAACAACGGTTTAACTGCGTAAAAAGCCCTGGTTTCGACACATTATGATGGCTAAGTGTCAGGACCATGTAAGGGATGACTCCATTCCCTTTGAAGCAAATGTAACCACAGCAAATGTGATGATAAAAAAGGAAGTTGACCTTATTAAACAGACTGGTTCAGCATACAGCATCGAATCCAAGCCTCGAGCGCCTTGTATGGGAGCTGAAACAGTGCAAACATCGATCAGGAGACCAGTTACACGGACCAACGAGGTACAGGCAGACGTGCCTTTAAAAAAGAATATTTCCTACTGCGATGAAGTGCCGGTGCCTTACAGCAAAACTGTCGAACAGTTGCGGATACAGCGGACATCACGTAACAAATCAGAGTTTTTCTTATGATTTCAATGAACAAACAGAATGAACTACTAATGCCCATTACTTCATTTGTTTAGATTAATTTACAAACAGTAATTTATTTCAAAGAATAAAAACGCATTCGGTGTTTGTCGCTGCGCGCTTTCGAAAAACCAGCAAATTACAGCAGCTTCGGTATGTGAATGACTCGCAGCGGAGGCACGAGCGCGCCGTGTTTCAAAGTGATATAAAACGCCGAGTTGTGCATATTGTCTCGGCAAAGCGACTGCAGGTCGGCGAACGCTTGACATAGTCGCTGC